AGTCAAAGTGATCCACCGGGAGTCATTTTGAAAACTTCCCACCCTTGATATCTATCTTACAGTTGAAAATATGAAAAACAATTTTTTATAAAGGGGACACTTTAAATTAATATTTTTAGCCTCCTTGTTTCAATCCCCTAGGCCGGGTACAATGTCACCTATAGAATCTTAAAAATGGGAAGGGGGTCGAGTGACACATCGTTTTATTTATTTTATTTATTCAATTTACTTGTTACATGATGATAACAAATTAAATTACGTCAACAAGCCCGTACAGGCATTCAAAAGGATTTATGTTCTAAAAAAAAAGAGAAAAGAAAAAAAACCAACAAACTCCAAAATAAAGAAAAATAAATTAATCTCTATCCAGGCACTAACAAGTAATCACGAATAACGCAACAGTAACTTACTTTTACCTACATACACATATATATGCCATATCCAGGGTATATGGCAGCCAGACTTTTAATTTGTCTCATTTGTGGAGGTAATTTATTAAATAGTTTTACGCACATTTACTCTGGATTTTTTTTACTTAAGTGTAGTCGGTGCCTAGAGCAGGAAAACAATTCTGATCTTCTAGTACGATCCTCAGAGCAAAGCGATTGAAACAAGCTTCTATTTTTATACAAGAACACAAGGCACTCAAAAATAAACAAGCCATATATCGTTAGAGTCCCGCACTCCTTAAATATGTTCCTGCACGCTTGTTTATCATATAAGTTCATTTTCTTAATAATCCTAATTGCCCGTTTTTGTGTGACAAAACATTCTCCACTACTGGCCATCCCATACCGCAATAGGGATTCGAAATTTGCAAAGTATAGTATTTTTAAACATTTTTCGTTCATATATTTTCCAATTACTCTTATTCCATAGCGGGTTGTGTTTATTTTTTTATTAATTGAGTTATGTGAAAAGGCCAGTTTAAATGCTCACCCATGTACAAACCCAAGAACTTTATGTGTTCTGCTACGGTAAATTCGTCAACTGCTATGTTTAAGTGATCTATTTTTTTTACTTGGGATTGTTTGGTTCTGAAGAATATTATAGCGGTTTTTCTGGAGTTTATAATCAGTTTATTTTCAACGAACCATTTGGTTACTATCGCAAGGAACCGATTGGTGTTATTTAGCAGGTGGGAAACATTTTTGTTTCCAATCAACAGGTTGCCATCATCGGCATAATTAATTATTATTTGGTCAGGACTGTCTCTGACAGAATATATGTCATTTATAAAAATTAAAAGTTTTAAAAGGCGTTCAATTATCTTCACATAGTTTATACACAAAAACAGATGTATTGGGACTCCTTGTAATAGAGATGATTAGAAGAATAAGTTACACTGTTAAAATTGTTGAATAACAGGACGAAAATCTAGTTTAAACATTGATTTATGATTTTTGATTTTGATCTTATTCCTTATTTATTAATTATTTTACATCGACATAAAACCTTGTTATTTGCAGAAGAGAAATTTCTACAATAATACTTATGTCATCTACTTACGCACTATCTTATTAAATTGTTCAAAATGTTGTCAAGTTTGCTGTAAACAATAATAATGTCAATGTTTCCAAACTCCTCCCTAACTTTACCGGGAGTTGACCGGAATTCTGCTGCAATTTGCCTTTTAAGATAATCTAATATCAGCATGTTCTGGTTTATAAACAACAATAGACGTAAGATGGGCCCAAGAAAAGATCCGGTGATCTTGGAGGCCAGTCAATTGGTCACCTTCCGTCAACCGATATATCCGGGAATATCTTATCAATGTTAGGGAGGGTTCGAAAATAGAGTTTATCATTGTTTATAGAAAAATGGACGACATTTTGAACAACTTATAAGATAGTGCGTAAGTAGATCCCATGGATTTTATTGTACAAATTTCTCTTCCGTAAATAAAAAGTGATTTTTGTCGAATTAAAATAATCAATAAATCCGAAATCAATTGTTTAAACTAGATTTTCTTTCTGTTATTCAACGATTTCAACAGTGCAATCTACTCTTCTAATCATCAGTATTACAAGGAGGCCCAATTGAATTGTTTTTGTGTTAACACTAACCTGAAAACCAATATCTAAATGCACGCAAGTTTAATTGTTTCTACAAATTTGAAACGCAATTATTCGAAACCCTCTGAACAAAAAGCAACAAAGTAGTAACTAGTGTAAAGAGAATTGAACGCCCTTTTAAATGATGTGCCACTTGATCCCTCTTCTTTTTTAAGAGTTTAAGGGTGACAACTACCCGTCCTAGGGGGTTGAAGCAAGAATTAATTTAAAGTATCCCCCTTACAAATAAAATTAACGGGTATTTCAGATCAGATTTTTCATATTTTTAAATGCAAGAAAGTTATTAAGGGTGGGAAGTTTTCAAATTGACCCCCCGTATATCTTCTTGCATATGTGTGTCCATTTACACATATCTATTCGTTAATTCAAGACATAAGAATTCTAAATATTTAGAAATTTTTCCTTTTCTTAAAGGTGTGCTTGGATTGCGGCAATCTATGTTTGATCCTGTCTACTAAAGGCTGATAACTCAGCGGATGTATAAATAAAATTCTTGTTACGTAAAATGGAATAATAATAAAATAAAAGTTAGTTGATGGTTCCATATTCAAAATTGAGCCAACTTTCAAACTGGGAATGATAATGGCACACTGTTAATTGCACTCCCATGCATTTAATGGACTTAAAAGCTCAATTGAATTTCATTTATGTCGTGACATGCATGCAAATAACGTGTGCATTTAGATTTGCACTGATTTCTATATAATTATTTTGTAGCTCTATTAAGTAATATTTATATGGTTATAAGAAATGAAATAATAAAAAATTCGATTTTATAGCTGCTGCAGCTAATCAATAAAGAAATGAATAAATGAACTATTTTATTATTATATTACGTTATTCATAAATTTTGAGCTTTTATTAAAACAAGTTTAAATAAATTTTGGAAAATTCAAAAGTTCTGCGACTTAATGGCTTTAATTAAATTTTGTTTAACATTAATTTAAGTATATTTAGAAATAACATTTTTATTCTTCTTACCTTTGTGACTGACATTGGTTGGCAGTGTTCTTTGCACTTACTGAAATGAAGTATTATATCGGTATGAATGACTTGAATCCTACATTCTTCACTTATATTCAGATGAACAACCCGCAGTCGGTGATGTCAAGGTTTTAAGCTCAGCAGCACGTAACATCACGCCTTGCGGAAGATGACCGGTTATTATCATTGGGATTTTTGTTGAAGTTCATTTTTATTCGAGGCTTTTGTTGTATGTGAACACTCACTGATTTTTAATAGTTTGTAATCGGCGTGTTTACATATAAGTGAATATACCTTTAACGTATAGGGAATCCCCACTAAATTATACACAGCTTTTCTTGGATTTTACGACACTTTTTATTTACTCTAAGAAAATTTTCCGCTAGGTGGGTCATAGAATAACTATTCGTAAATTGCATTGATTTRGAATTGTTTTCTTGAGGTTTTTGCTGCATAAATTAAATAAAGTACAAATCTTTGACATTTGGATGCGATCAATAGWTAGGTGAGTCAAATTATTTATTTAAGTGCAGGCATGCACTTTGTTCGTTTTYATGGAATATATTAAAATTGATAAAAACACTTCTTTATGGAATTTTTATTAAATATTAAACATAAATTTAATAATAGATTTTCAAATAAATTGATGGAGTTTCTTATAAAGCGTTAGCTSACGGATCGTGGTGTATTATGTTAATATAACCATATTCGTTCCATCACGKGTCCAAATTCAMACACATTCACACAATTGTAAGATTTATTCACGAAGTGTAAAATTTGTTTTTCCAAATTAAATTTACACCAAAATTATTAATTAACATTGCCTTTATTAGTTGAAACAATGAGATTAAGTCAAAGTTACATAACTGACAATTTGCACAGACGAATTATCAGAGCGAATTTTAACATATTGTATTATCCTACTATTGTTACACAATTTATTAACATAATATTGGTATTATTATTTGTAATATAATAGAAGAAACAACTCAAACCTTATCTGAAGAACAACAGGAAGCATTTCGTATAAGATCAAAAATAATTCTAGAAAAACCTTTCAAAATTAAACAAAACATAAGCTCAATAGAACTAAAAGCATTAATGTCTTAAAAAAAAGATAAAACAATTAAAATTTTGCCTACTGATAAAGGTAATGCGACCGTTATCATGGATTATAATATCTATGATCAAGAAGTTAATGAACTTTTAAATGACAAATGTTATTCAAAATTAAAAAAAATCCAACAGAACGTTTTGAAAGACAAATTTGAAACACTATAAAAAAATGTAAACATGAATGCACATATTACGTTAGATCAAAATTAACACCACACAATAGTAAAACACCACAGTTTTACGGAGTTCCAAAAATCCATAAAGTTGCTATTCCTTTACGATCAATAGTTAGTGTATAAATTCCCCTACACGTCCCTTAACCAAATATATTTTAAACATTTTAAATTTTCTAATAAATAACACAAGTTTCTATATTAAAAATTCTGAACAATTTTTAGAAATATTATCAGACATAGATATAAATCCAAACCATATTCTGGTAAGTTTTGATGTTAGGCTATTCTCACGTTCCTGTTGATAAAACTTTAAATATCATCAAACAAAATTAAAAAAGGACGTCAATCTTAAAGAACGCACACAACTAAGCGTTAACACCATTATTGAACTTTTAACAATATGTGTAAAGTCAACTTATTTTCAATACAATTATCATTTTTATCAACAAAATTTTGGAATTGCTATGGGGTCGCCACTATCCCCATTTGTCAGTAATTTATTTATGGCAAATTTTGAATCAACTTTCATAAATTACAAATTTAATCCAATAATTTACTGCTGTTATATTGATGATTTATTCTCCATTTACAGTCATGGCGAACAAAAACTTGATTAATTTTTATCTTCTCTGAATAATAAAGAACCAACAAATAAATTTACTATCGAAAAATAACAAAATCATCAAATTCCTTTTCCCGATATACTGATTCAGAAAAATTTAGACAATTTCGAAACCTACTCATACTAGCCGGTAGGCCGTAAAAAAGGTATTGTGCAAAGTTTATATGATAGAGCAAAAATAATTTGTAACAAATATAATTTTTCCAAAAAAAACCAATTTATAAAATAAATTTTAAATTCCTATAATTATCCAAATTGTTTTATTGAAAAATGTTTTAACGAAATTGAATTCCCACAAACAAAACAAAATCAAAATAAACCTATTACAAACTTTTTATTCCATTTATTCCAGGACTTTCAGATCAAATTAAACGAGTAGGTAAAACATTTAATATTAGGACTATCTTCAAAGCTGAAAATACAATTAGAAGCTTTTTCTTTAGTATCGGCCAGGAGTTGATACCATTCTCGGATTGTAAGAAAAGCTAAGCTAAACCTCGTTGCGACTTTTTTGGTAATATTAGCTTTTCCAGATCATTCCATTCGGTTATGTCAGCTATTTCCTCAAAGTCAGCGATCCACTTCTCTACACGATAGTACCTATTTGCCCCTATGCCATCCAGGTAACTATCTAGGAGAAAGGAAATCTAAACGCAACCTACTAGGCAAATTTTGACGAAATTTATGTGGACTTGTCAGATAATTTGCTGTGCCTCCACACCAAATATTAATGTTAAGTTGATGTTTGTGGATTTTCAGTGTCGCAATGATCAGTTTGAATATCTCTCGACCGGTAAAAGTCGCTTGGTCAGTGAACAAGGTAAGAGAAAGCAAACTGCACTCTAACATGAAGATATATTCTAATATATTTTGCAGWGGGRAAACGTGAATTTGATAAAWTTTTTCTTTCATAAAAATTTTGAGTAGACTTGCTTTACTTACACGAGTGCTTTTTGCTATTTGCTAACTGCTTATTTCTGKATTCWCAAGCACCTAACTTAAGATTTACTMTTCTTAATCGACAGAAGCAGCACGTCTTTGCCCCGCTATGTCCCACTTTCCTAAGTGGGACAATTGCCAATTTYTTCAAACGGTTGAAACGTTGAAGATTTGGAAATAGTGTCGATTTGGTTGCCGGCTGTTAGTCAAAAATGTCCATTTGTAACAATACCCGGTGATTCAAAATTGGCGTCATTTCTTTTAAGGGGTAATAGGGGCTCACTTATAGAGCTTGAGAGACATTTAGAAACTTTTTTCAATAATTTCTAGAATATATTAACAGTTGAAAATCCAATTTCAACTTTGTTTTGCAAGCATTATTTTGAAATTGTTCCATGTGAAATGCATTTTGGAATATTTAAGCATTYTGATTCAAATTACGAAMATTTTYGATATAAAAAAAGTACTCTTCTGTAATATAAAAATAATTTTTTGATCAAAAGTCAAAGCTGCAATGATGTTTTTTCTCATTAACAGACAATTACAGGTAGATAGCCTTTGTTAATAATAACAATCAATTGTCAAAATGTGATTTACTTTGAAGCTCCTTTTTGCGGATATGCGATTAGTTCTGCTCAAATGTCACATTAAGATAGCCGAAGCTGTAAGAACTCACGCCAACAAAGAGCTAGAGATACTGAGGATTGGCTCCAGGAAGATAGTGTACAACAAGAGATGTGCGGGTTGCAGACACGGAGGGACAAGTATTGGACATAATTGCAGCGGATAATTCCAGGGGTACTCAGAGCTGAACAACTGACACTTTCACAAGCATCAAATAAATGCCGATGAAGGGCTGAAGTGACATTACTACCACGTATGTAAGATACACACAGAACAAGGACACATTAAGCCAATGTATTACTGAACACCCGTATAAATTGAGCAGGAGTTAATTAACCGAATACGAGAAGCTGCTCGATAAGAGTCGATATTAAGGCGATTACACAGGCTTAATGACTGAAATGTATGTTTATTTGAAAACATAATTTCGAGGTTATGAGCACAATAATTGATATTTCGAAAAGTGTGTTCCACAGTCAACAAATCCTGTCAAATTTACCGTTTATCCTTGCCTATTTTAATGTCACTTTCTGTAAAATTCATTGGTTATCGAATAATTTAATAATTACGAAGCCGCAGGTATTTCCGTAATGTTAATTAGGCAGATTTTCTTGAAAAGAATTTTTGCCGCCGTTTTGATACAATTTTTTGAAAATTTCTCAGTACCAGACAATTTCAAAGGTTGTACCGAAGGGCCTGAATCAATTGCATTCAAGAAATATGTAGGGAAATACCAGCTTATTTAAACTCTTATACTCCTAGAGACTTTTTACCCGAAAATTTGAACCAAAAATTGGACAGTTAGCGACAATGAGGGAAAATTGGCGGCTGATCTGGATCAAGTGATTGTAGTCTGGCATCGATATTGTGTGGATCTGTGTGCTGACAATGACTATATTAAGAATCGTTAAAGCAACATCACTCAATTTGAACCGGACATTCTGCTCTCGGAGGTTCAAGTTGTGATAAACAAGCTTAAATTTAAGTCTCCTGGAATTGATGCTATAACAGCCGAGGCACTAAGGTTTATGGGATATACTGTGATAACTATAGTGTACGTGCCTTGATATCTCACACCAGCAAAGTATTTCTCTATATTCTTTGATCCCGTTTGGAACACTATCTTCTATGGCAGATATCCCCTGAACAAGCTGGATTCACAAGGGGAAAAGGCACTAGGGAGCAAATTCTGAAATATTAAACAAATAATTGAGAAGTCGAGAGAGTTCTATACTCTCACGTATTTATGTTTTGTCGATTATAGCAAAGCTTTTGATAACACAAAAGGGGAAAAGCTTTGATATATTCTGTTGTCAATGGGTGTCCCAGACCATCTCGTGTATCTCATACAACAATTATATGATAACAATACTACACGGGTTAGGGTTGATAAATGTTTGTCTGATGAATTTGCCACATGCATGGGTGTGAGACAGGGCTGTGTTCTCTCGCCACGTCTTGATATCTATACTGCATTTATCATGAGACAGGTTTTAGAGGACTGGCACTAGTAGAGGACTGGTATCTAACTAAAGGTTTGCCGATGATAAGACCTTTGTTCACGAAACTCAAAATTTTTTATTGTTGCATGGCAACAGCTCGTCGGTAACATTACAACCCCGGCATCGGATCCCACCCTTCTGTAAAATCAGTTCTAAATCTGTATAGAAAGGGCACTCAAAAAGAAACCATCGACGGTTCCGGTTGCTTTATCAAGGTGATAGTACAATTTTGATCCT